ATGTCCAAAGGTAGATTTGCATCGAGCAATACTCCAGTCATTTTGTATGTCTTATATTTTGTTAGTAATAAAGTTACATACAATTTTTTTAAAATAATAGGAATATTGAGGTTATTCCATAAATTCAGTTACCACTGAAAAATTCCCTTTTTCAGATACTGTACTACATGCCTGAATATTTTTAACTTTTGTTTATAACTTGTGTTATTGTGATTCCTTTGTGAACAATTTGAGTAACTAGCTCAACTACTGAGTAACTATTTGTATGTTTAGTATATAATGAATTTCATTCTGTAGGGCAGGAAAATCATCTTTTTCCAGCATTTTGCTTCTCTCCCTCCAGTTCATATAATATTTCTTCCCTTCTCTTTAAAATCCCTTCCAACTTAGTGAATGATTGGAGGGCTGGAGCAGAGCAGACATTCCCTGGTGATGCTCAGATTCAAACTGTTCTTTGTTTACTTCTCTGGTATTTCCAACTGTGCTGGTCAGAATGATGGCAGAGTGGGTCTAGCTGAATTGTTATGGGGCAGATTTAAAACAGGCTATAAAATACAGTGTGAGAGTAGTCACTGGTATCCCTTTTAAAAGGGAAGGCCATATTGATAAGGTTTTTACAATGGGCTGTTCAGAATCTGACATAGCAATATCTTTATAGACAATCTTGACAGACCAGAGGCCAGTCAGATGTGAAGACAGTGTGCTAAAGCTCAGACTGCAGGGATGTGTCAGTGGGCAAATTTAGAGTTAAAATACTGAGCAACTTACAAAAGGGGCCAGAGAAAAAAATCCAATGAACTACTATTGTCCTTGAGAGTGACAAAAGAGACAAGTATGCTTAAGCAGGAGTAATCCACTACCCAAATACCAAATGTGGATGTAACTTTCTGCTGAACTGACAGGCATCATGGCAGGTAACAAGCAATGTTAGAGACTACTGCCTTCTCCCTCTCCTCAGGCCCTGCTGGAGTTACACACCTGTGCTGTAGAGCAAGCAATTCCTACTGCATCACCAACGTGTACCTTCGTGGGCTAAGCTTTTGGTCTCCTATTTCAATAAATGGACCCAGTGGAGGGAAAAGAAAAATCATCCCACTAAAAAACGTAGCCTTAGGAATCTCTGAAGCCACAGGGGCTGCCCTGTTCCAGAGAGGAGACTGGAGAGGGAATATGAGCATGGCTATTATACTTGATATATATGAAAAACCTGCTGCTAAAAGGAAGAAGCAGTAAGTTAAAATAAAGAAAATTCAAGATAGCTATTTGGTGGTTGGAAGGAATGGGTGTCCAATAAATCAGTAAATTATTAGTTTGAAGTTTCAGTGCTGCAAGTCCTTAAGAATCCCATCGCACATATATTGAGGTTGTAGCTCAATCAACTATACTCATTTAGGGCAAAGAGAAGATTAAAGCTAGAATGTACTCTTCAGGTCCCTGTGGTATTGGTTGAAGCTGTCATTTAAATCAAATGTGAAATAGTTCAGGTCTGTGCATGTGTATTTATGTGTCATGTTCTTCAGGGACCAGCAGTAAACATGCACTTTCTCTCATACAAGCATGGGACTGAGCATGCATAAGAACAGCAGAGTGTAACAAATTATACCCAAGTGCAAGGTTTATTGTTTTTTTTGGCCCATACACAAACATGAGACTGTATACACACATATCTATATAGATATTAAAAAAGTTTGGCCAGTTGCCAATTAATATAATAATCTTGTTTTTTTCCTATTCAGATATTTTCAGTATTTCTACCATGGTTATTTTGATCCTATCTAAAAAATACTAGTGTATGTTCATAAAATGTGTAAATATAATAATGCTTTGTATATAAAATATCAGCTCTGTGTAAATATGCTGTATTTTATTGATTTGAGTCTGTTTTGCAAATGAAAAGGATAAAATTGAATAATATTGCAACTTACCATTTACTTCCTGTACAATTTGCTATACATGTAAGACTGTATTAAAGTGTGTGACCTGAAGTGTGAACTTTTTAAAAATTAGAGCAACCCTTGTGTTCCCAGAGAGGTCAGCTCCTGGATGGGGGTACTCTAGGGCACTGCCTAGGACAGGAATCCGAGGGGGAGTATTTCTGCTTATTGGAAATTCTCTCAAATGTTTAATGCTTAGGTCATCAAAAGAGTGTCTTAGTATAAACCACATTATATCTTACAGTAATGATAAATAATACTGTCCCTGCTCAGTAAAATAGACAGAGAATTTAATTCAAACTATGTAAGATAACAGCATTTGCTGAGAACTGACTATAAGAATTTTTTTAAAAAGTGTTTGAATGCCATGAACACGGTGTTCTTACATGTATTTATGTAGTTGTACACTCACTGAAGTTTTTAAGGCATTTAGCATGAAGTGGGCACTCCACACAGTAACAGACTCTCTGGGCTTGAATGACTGTAGTTGGGGTGTTCCTTTTGGAGGACTAAGGTCCAAGCTTTAAGTTCTCTGCTAAAGTTATTAGTTATTTACTCTCCAGCAGTCTTCACAGTACAGAAAGGGGAAAATACCCTGAAATTGCGCAAAGGCTGACAAAACAAGTGATTAGCTTTCACTAATTATTTCAGTGAGATCGTTCCAGGAGTTACATAATTCTATACTCCTTTTGTATGTTTTCCCTCTTCTTGTGCTGTCCTATTTCATCATGCATTTCCAGGAGGCAGCACGATGGATGGATTAAAAGAATCAAACGTAATGTCTTTAAATCATTGTCTAATGCTTAGCTGGAATTCATCTGTTTATAGCAAAGCAGGTGGAGTATAATAATTTGAATTCTCATGTTTGAAGCTTTTAAGAAATCGAGTGAGCAGCTGGCTGGGTGACTCAGTGACCCAGATTACAGAGAATGCATTGCTTCAAGAGAGGTAAACAGGATGTGCAGAAAAGGATCAGATCTCATCATGGCACTTGGGGCAGAGACAGCAGCAATGTGTTCCATTTCAGGTTCTCTGAAATACATGTCAGAATTGTTCATGTAGCAAATTATATAGGTTATCATGTATGAAGACTTTATTTGATAGCACATAATACATTTTGAAGTCAGCCACTCTATCCCATATTTCACCTATTTTGGAAAATATAAGGATAAATAATGAGTATACTAGCACTAGCTGTGCAAATCCACTTCTGCAGGGAGGGGAGGACCTTGCATCAAGTGCTGCCCTGACTCTTTTGAACAGAAAATTCCATGATAACTTTGAATTATAATTAGCCTTTCATAAAGCTAACCACATACCTCTTGTCCAAAAACAAGAAGGCACATGCCTTCAACTCTTGCTCTTGTTGGAGAATGTGTGGTAGAAGGTTCTGCCTTCTGCTGTCCTTGCGACCTGTCACTACCCAATGTGGGAACAAGCTGAGTCAGATGCATCTTCATTCAGTTAACTGGAATCAAAAGGGAGTGTTTCGGCCTTGGAGCTGAGAGGGAGTGTGTGAATCAAAACACTGAGTTTGCAAAAAGTCCTGGGAATTCTAGTTAACTGAATGGCAACAGCAGGCTCTGTTTACCTGAAGAGGTTAATAAAAGGGGAATGCAGAGATTTGTGGAGAAATTCCGAAATCGAATTCTGTGTGTGTGTGTGCAGCCTCATTTCTTCAGCGCCCATATCTGCCATACCTGAGGCTAAAAAGTGGCAAAAAATGTGTTACAGTATTCAAGATCTAGAGCTCAGGTGAATAAATACTTAACTGCATGACAAACGTATATCATTTACTTCACCTTTTAGTCTCAACTACTGTATAGCACTAGATTTTAGTAGAGAAGTTCACAGTTTTACCTTTCCCTTTCTTTTCTATATTGAGCAGGCATTTTTGATTTTGCATTTTAGGTTTTGGTTTTTTTTTTAAAAAAAAAAAAGGTACACAGCTAAAACTTGTTTACATAGAAGAACATTTTGCAAGTATTCACCTCTGAAAACTGGAATAAATAACTCAACCTAGTAAGTTCTCAGAGAATACAAGACATGTTTATGCATGTAGTTATCTTAGAGGAGCTGTCTATCTCTGCAGTTAAATCTACTCACTCATTTATAGTGAGTTTTGAGAAGAGGCTTGAGGCCAAACAATACAAAAACTCACAAAAATTCCATTTTCAAACACCATTAAATTCCAACTATTCATTTTGAAGGATTACTCTGGTCAGAACACTTTCTATTCACTTCATAATGAATGCACTTATTGGTTTTTTGGATAACGATGAACTTTTTTAAACATGTTATATATCGCCCTTTCCCCTGAGGCAAAGTATCTCTGTTAGTTCCTAAAAAGGAAAAAGAAAGAAACCTTTAAAATAACTGTTTTTGAAGACTGCAGAACATTTCTGCATTTGCCTTTGACTCTAATCCAGAGGCAGAACGAAAAACTGAATCAGACTGTGTTGCTGCCACTGTGTCTCTGAAGTGGTGTGAGAGCTTTGCAGTGGGGACTGCCAGGTTATTTTTCTGTAAAAAGCAGCATGAAGGACTTTAAAAATAGAAGGGAAATAAGGTGAAAAAAGTATAACCATCATCGGGGAATAACAGAGGCAGGAACCAAACACTTAAATAGCTTTACAGGATTAATACATGCTTCAGAAGGACACTTAGAATACAATTCAAATGTGGTGTTAGTTAAGTTGACATTATCCCTTTGTCATTTTATTAAATACCTTTCATCTAGGCATTGTCACCAGCATCCATACACAAAATGCTTCCCCCTTTTCTCCCCAAAGTAGCACTTATACACCCAAAGAAAAGCCACAAAGGTTTAAGGTAGCAGAAGAAAAACTTAGGCTAGCCTATTGGGAATGGCAGCATTTTCTTTTTCTAAAATCAGACCTGCATTTTTTGAAACATCTGAAACTTTTGAGATTTCTTCCCCAAAAGGCTTGTCAAGCACTGGAACAGGCTTGCTTGGGGAAGTGGTGGAGTCACCATCCCTGGAGGATTTAAAAAGACACATAGATGTGGCACCTGGGGACATGGTTTAGTTGTGGCAGTGCTGAGTTAATGGCTGGACTCAGAAAGATCTTTTTCCAACCTAAATGGTTCTAGGAAGCAGAGTTTTAAATGCTTTTAAAAAACCCTTCATTTCTTGATTGCAGAAGAGAGGGATTCTACACAGATTTTTCTCTCCTTTAAGCAGCATTTCTGTTTTGAAGCATGCCAAAGGAAGAAAAAAATTAAGAAGAATGGCTCAAACATTACTGAAGGCAGCTCACTAATTCAGAAATAGGCTATAAAAGCCACGCTTAGTAAAAGTCCCAGAACTTGTTAGCAAGAACAATGTTGAGCTTCAGTTCAGATAGCTAGCAGTTATTTGAAATGCCTCAGCAGGAAGTAGTTGCCACATTCGGAGGCACATTTCCCAAATTTCTTAATTTGGAAAGAGAACAGTCCACAGCTACAGCCTTCAAACTTGTAGTTAACTACTTCCTGTGAAAGAAGGCCTTTTCTGCACTTGAAACGTTTTACTGGAGATCTGTAGCCCATGGAGCCATGCTCATTTAGAACAGGGTTCACTTCACTCTTCTCCTGGAATATTTTCAACAAAAATCTGCTAGTTTAAAACAGTCTCTGCTTTGTTTTAAACTATAATCCCATTACTTTAAACAACCAGCAAGTAGTGTAAGAATTACATTTGAAAACAGGAAATTTAGCAATAACTGGTTTATAACAGGGGCACAGAAGATAAAAACCAAATACGTTTCCTGCACGTTTTTAATTCTTTAAATATTCAACCCACTCACTACTTTTTCCTATCTGTAAGGTGAAGGAAGAATTAATTAATCAGCATTTAAGTGTCTGGAGAATGTATCAGCAGGCCACTACTACATTTTCCCTCCGACACAGACATGTTGGGTACAAAGTAGGTCAGTTTCAGAAAAAAAAAAAATAAAAACAGGCACAGTATCTGGCATCCACTTATTTTCATTTCAATTAAGAATTTCCTGCAGAGCATACTCCAAATCAAGCAAAAGATTTGAACCTGGTGCCTCTGTATCTTCTGTGCTTGCTCTAAAACCATTTGGTCATTAATTACCATCTTTTGAGGAAAGCTGAAATATAATTTAAGTACTCTCTAAGGTTCAGAACCTTATTCTGTCTCTAAAAAATAAAGGTTGAAACTACACTTATTCAATTCCTTGACAAACCTTTAATTGGGAGAGTAGCTGAGGTTGCAACACCATCCCAATTGAGTACAAAAAGCAGATGGAGCAAGCAGAGCTTAGCTTCACATTTGGAGCTGGTGCTCTCAACAATTCAAAGCCTGCTAGCCCTTCCATGGCCCATGAATAAAGAAAGGGCTGTTTATAAACCCAAAAAGTGTAGGAAGGTTCAGCCTATAAGCAACATATAACACCAGCTTAATGTTACATTTGCATGTAGTAACTGCACTGGCAAAAGAAAAATAGTTTTTTTCTTATTTCCTGTGATTTAGCTACTGAATCCTACACTTACTGAACTGGAAGTTCACATCAGCAATTAAAACAAAACCAAAAAAAAGAGTCAAATCACGGTCTGTGTTTGTGTGTAGAATACTAATTCCTCATCATCACTGGGCAGCTGTTGGAATGTCACTCTGAAGTACTGTAAGTACAGGCACCAATTTGCTTTTAGTCAGCAGCATGTGGTGATGGCATTTTGTAAACACTGTAGCCAAACAATTTAATTTGCAAGGTATTCCCTCTGGAAGCTTTGTAAATTGGCTTTAACCTATACCAAAAACAGTTAGGAATCAGAAACTGAAGCTAATCCCAAGCAGATATTTATTGTGCTGCTTAGTTTCAGGCATCGTTACTGGAAGTAGCAGAAGCTACAGAACCTCCCCAGAGGCTGCCTGTTTATTCCTTACTTCAGTCTCACTTTGAGATTTACACTTTTCTTGGCCAAGGAATTTTCATACACTTCCCAGTACCAGGCTCCAGCCTTCACAGTCCTCATAAATTGTTACGGGATCCTTCAGAAGCTGGTCATAAGCAGTCCTTTAAAATCAAAGAACAAAACAAGAAACAAAAAAAATCACGAAGCAAAAATAACGCTGGCTGGGCAAAAAGTTTAGACCACAGAAAACATCATAATAAAGCATTTAGTGTTTTACTTCTTGTCTAAACTGAGTTCTAGTAGCACAGCCAGTCTTACGTACAATAAAAAGCACAGGTCTGAAATACCTTCTGTCAAAATAGCAGAAGGCCAAGAAAGGGTTCAAACTGGACAATCTTTTACCTTAACATAAAAGGTTTTTTCAGTCAAGGATCCGATGGGAAGATTGCATGACCAGTTTGCTTTCTAAAATGATTGGTGGCTCTGAGATGAGGAGATCATCCTCACCTAATGAAGAGTTCTGCTCAGTGTTCACAAAGTTAGGAATGTTAAATTTTGGAAGACAATGTAGGTCTTCCTCAAACACTCCACTGCTTCTGGGAACCTCCTGGAAGTGGATATTACTCTCCAGACCTGGACCTTTCTGACTCTCTTTTGCTTTGTTCATGTGTTCCACTTCATTAATACAGAAATGGAAAAGTGACTGGGATTCTTCAGCCATTTGACGAGAAAAGACCCTCTCAGACTCCAGAGGTCTTCCAAAATCTGCCACAAAGCTATTCATGCGAAATCTTTTTTCAGAAGGCTCTGCATTGCTAGGGAGGAAAAAGAAAAATACAGTAAACATGAAAGTAGAACTATTTGAGTCCTTATCAGCAAATTTGGTGGTTTCAACAACCACTATGATCAGGAAGAAAGGAAACCCTATGGTTTATCTACCACAAACTTTTAAAGCCAGCAATATTGATTATTTTCTGCTGAAGCTATTTTAAGTCTTGATTTGTCATGATAATTTTCCATGGGAATAAGTTAATGCCAGCACTCTTAAATGGCACTTCCAGTAAATATACTGTAATAATCACCTCACTGAATGAGCTTAGAAATACTCTTCAGGATTTCCTCTTGATGTCAAGTAATAACATTTTTTTAAATGGCTTATAAGAACACTTTGAGAAAAAAATCCTTGATAGATAAAATCTTTCTGAGGCACGGGCAGCACTGCTCTCACTAAGGCATAGCTTGAGTACAGACATCAAACCATCTTTTCTCCCGACTTCAATCGATGACATTCAGATTTACAAATTAGAAGGGCTGGAACTAAAGACTGCTTCAAAGACAATTCAGGCACACAGCCCAGGAAGGACAGTGAAACATATTTCTTTGGAGTTTTTATATAAATCTTAGCTCAAATCAGCACCAATCTGCATGGACTTTGCAGGAGCCATAAACACGTGGAGGTGAGAAAAGCTCAAGCTAGATGGAAGTCATACAGATAGTAATACATTCTTTTTCAGGCTGATTTTATATGCTATCATCACAAAATGCAAGTTATTTGCATCTGAAATGCAGTAGAGGTATTCAGAGGATGAGCAATGAAAATCTAAACATATTCTCAGAATATAAAATTTGTTAAAAAATTTGTTTACATCTGAACATGTAGCAAATGACACTGGAGTCAGATAATTGGACACCTAAAGGTGCACCCAGCACTTAGAGTTTTTCAGAAAAATGCTGTAATTTAATTCTCTCAAGCCTGCAGTAAGAGAAAAGTGCCTACATGCTTTTGAAAGCCTCAGATGACACCTTCAGAAATCTACCCTTAAAACCTTCGAGTTCACAGAATGCCTACCATTAGTCTTTCAGGCATAGTTAACCTTAAAGATCTCTGCTTCTTAAATGCTAATTTACTTCCATTAGATGATAGAATCCTGTCCTAACAAAATCACTTCCACTAGCCTTCAAATCAAAGCAGTTCTCTAGTTTGTCAAAACTGTATTGGCTCATTCTGCATGTCAAAGTGAAGCATGTAGAAGAATAACATTTAAACTGATGCAAGACAGACCAGTAACTAATAATCTACTGTATACACACCAGGATGCAAACAGACTGGAATAATTTTGCAGTAGCCTTCAGAATTGACAACTGACATTTATGTCTTTGTAATGCAATAAAAAGCACCACTATATAAGTCTCCTACATAGTTTTGCAAATCTGTCCCACGAGTTTCTATGCAGTACTGTGGCACAAACAGGGGAGGTGGCAAATAAGCACAGAAAGAAGAACAAGCACTGTAAGCCTAGGAAGAAGTGACTGCAGAAGAAAGCTTAAAATGCATCCACTAGAGAAGTAAAATTTCTTCATAGGTGCAGAAAGTGCTTTATAATCCAGTGAGCTATGAAGGAGCAACGGCTGACAGTGCAGAGGGGCATACAAGACTGGCAACAGCAACCTAATCTAAATGGAAGAATAGAAGATGTCAATAAATTCTACAATGACCCAGAATGCTGAGGACATACTATAAGGAATAATCCTGTATTCATGAGCAGGGAACACGTGGTCTAATATACAGAGATATTTTTGGATTTCACAAACACCATCTCGGTATTTTAGAGAGGAATTTTTTTTAACTAGACTAGAAACTTGCATAGTCTTGCTCATTACAATATGCAAGAACACTTCAGCAGATACCTTTTCAGAACACTTAAAATAAGAAAAGCAGCCTCAGAAATCCTAGTTTTACTGTGTAAGGGAGCACAGCCACCTGGACAATCAAATTCCTTTTGCAATATTTGAGCCAACACAACCCTCTGAGTTCCAAAAGTTGCCAACAAGAAAGCAGAAAGGTGAATGACTTATTCAGGGAGACACCTTGAGCAACATACACACTGAAAACCACTCAAAACAAGCAGTTGCCACTGAACTTACCCAACCTCCCTTTTATGGGAATCTTCCAGGCTATGGGTTCTGGTCTGCTGGACTCAGCATTAAGCTCTCGACTCTGCCCACTGGACCTGAGTGCACTGTCAGGGTACAGACCATTTTGCCCAGTATATCATTCTAACAGAAGCATACTAGATTGGGACTGACATCTGAGATTCTTCTATAGCTTAAATATCCCTTCTCTCAACAGTCTCTGAAGTGAGGTACTTGGGGTACAAGGGGTACTTGGCAAACGATGGAAAGGAATAAGGAGTCAATCCTCCAAAACAGCAGGGTTTGGTATCCTAAGGGGAACTTGGGCATCTGAACATATCCTTAGTAGCAATCCTGAAGTGCTACCCTGAACCTGAGAAATCTCCCTGAATAAGTATTCAGCAAAAACATACATATATCTGTAGAAGTTTTTGTTTCAATGAGTGCATTTCTCTGACTGGGTTTCACCTTAGAATCCTTAACCAAAACGAACTGATTTCTTGGGAAAAAAAAAATTCTCTGTCATTTTTTTACTGCAAGTAGTGGTACAACTTGCCTAAATTGCTGCACGAAGCTTTGACATTACACCAGCCAATATTTTTTACAGATAGGTTACACAAACTCTTGCATTTATTGCACAAATGTATTTTTAAGGACATTTTCACATGCAGAAACAAAGAAAGCATACTAGCTACTCCTGAGTGATGAATGAGAGCATTTCTCAGACAGAAATGCAGTAAGATTTTCAACAAAATTTTTTTGTCGCACAAGCAAATCTTCTACACATCCTAATATGCAGGCAAACAAAAGAGAAATGCAACAGACAAAATTTCCATAACTGATTAAATTTCTGCCTCTCCCCATCGAAATCCTGACCCTTCTGGTCTGAGAATGTATCCAATTCTGAACATCTTTTATAATTCTGGAAAATACATCCTATCGTGCCCCTTTATATTAAGCCAAGAAAAGCATATTACTAGAAAAATCAGAGTATTCTACCTCGGATCCATCCATCTGAGCCCAGTTACACTTATCTCTCACATTAATGGTACTTTAAAGAACAGCCAAATAGCCTTGCTGAAGTCAGAGACACATCCATCAATCAAGCTGGCTTTCTCCCAAGACCTAGGAATCCCATTAACATCTATCTAAAGGAGGGCTGCAAGACAGGCCGCTAATGAAACGCCAAGTCATGAAGAATCCAGTCAGGTGTAAAAACAGAAGATGCAGGCAAACTAAAATCACACTCTGCACTGGTTTTACAGGTAGGTGTTCTCCAGTTTTTATATACATGTATCAAAAATAAGAGGACACAGGATTCCCTGCACTTAGTGTATTCCTGGATGATCCATGTTCAATACCACACACATTTGATTATCAAACGACAAAAAAATAGTGCTCAGATTTGTTGAGTGCCAACTCAGCGTACCTAGTAAGTGGGTGAGCACTCAAGCACACAGATCCCAAAGCTGCAAAGAGGTTTAAAGCAAATACAGAAAGGAATAATTGGGCTCGCTTCAGAAACTGAAGAAAAATTATATTAAGGTTTAGAAAGGAAGGGACTTCTGGAGGTCTCTAGCCTGATGATAAAGGCAAGGCCTGAATTCAGATCAGTTTATCTGGATGTAGAAGCTGACCAGAGATGGAGGTTTCACAAACTCTCTAGACAACCTGTTCAAGAAAATTGATGAAAAACATAGAAAAACAGTGGGAGACACTAAGCAGGCCTCTGCTACCTAGAAGTACATTTTTACAAGTGTAAAAACTTTTGACAAATATTCATATTAAATTCTCTGTGTGGTATATTTGACTTAATTACTTCTTCCCCTCTCAAATTATTCACGTGGGATACAGATTCAGATGTTCAGCTAATTAACAAGGTCTTTAGGGGAAAGGGGCAGCGCACCAACACTTACAAGGACTTTGAATTTGTTTGGGAGCAAGGTTTGTCTGCTTTATAACAGTATGTAAGGGAAACAAAAATACCAAGTCGGATCTGGTAAGCTCAATTCTTCTGCCTCTATTTTCTTCTCACAGAAGCAAAACTTCAGGAGCACACAATATACATATGTCCTCTCTAATGTGGCCCTGTCTTTAGAGATGTGCTATTATGTGAAGTTTCAGAGCCAGTCTACATATGATTAAATAGCAAAGGGCCTCCAGTGGGCAGAGAGAGGCTGCTTTAGGAAGCAATAAGCACTAACAATTGCCTTTCACAATCAGCTTCTCATCATTGCTACCTGTCTGCAAGTGTTCTCACCTCCAGAGAGGCTTTTTATTTCTACTTTATGGCACACAAGTCTGAGAGGAGATGTGGCTTCAAACTTTCTCATATGAAGGAACAATGGCAGCCTGGGTGCTGTGCAAATGCAGATAAATCATTGAGGCAAGGCACGGTCTACACATAATTATCAGCCAGAAAGAATAAGAAATAAAGGACTTTCAAGGCACCCTGGCTTTAAACAAACATGGAGCTGATCTGTACTTCAGCATCTACTGGAATTTCTCAGCAGAAACTAAGACACTCTGAGACCTCGGGGGTTAAGGGAAGATTTTGTACAGACTACTGATATCTACCTTTTGGATTTGAACACACAAATGTGGAAACCTGCCAGATTTCAGCTTCCTTCCTTTAGCATCTGCACTATCTGCATATACTCCATCAATATTCACACTTCCACTCCAGGATAAATTGAGCTCACCTAGAGCTCGCCATTTATGTGCAGAACAGTAATCTAAAAGCACCTGTACCTGTTTGGCAGCCTACCCACAAACTTCCTTTTAGCATGAGTATGCTCAGATTGTTTGAAATGAAGATAGACTGCACTGATTCATAAGAATGGACTAGAACAAGACCGTGCTGAGCCAGTACAATGTCAGCATTGTCACTGCTTGTTTGGGGGCTGCAAGAGACCATATGTGCCACTTAGTAGGCTGGATTTCTTATTCCCATTTTCAAACTCACTCTTGATGAGGTGCTCCTGTCTTCGTCAGCAGGGTCAGGACAAAAAACATGAAGATGACAAAAACTGCAAGACCAACCCAAAATCCAATCACAATGGAATCTGGTGAAAAAAGAGAAAACAAGATGATCAGTATTTTACCTGCACTTGCAGAAAGCTGCCTTCCACATACACCATGACTGCAAATCCAAAATAATTTGCAGCTTATTCCTGGGCGGCAAAGAGGAAGAATGATCAAATTTATCATTATCTATGTTTAAACAGAAAGTTGCCATTGAAATTCTCATTTCTAGCCTGAATTTTACTGATATCTAGACAAACTAGAAAGAAAATTAAAGAGGGAAGATGCTTATTTCCCTTGGTTAGTAAAATAAGAGCAGCTACCTTTGTGATGCCTGGCCCATTTCCAAGCATTGTGCTTTGGAAACAACTTCAGTCCTAGAACTCAGAAGAGAGGTTTATCTGATTTGCAGCAAAATCCTTTGTCTTTGTAGAACTGAACTCCTGCTATTTTAAATTATTTCTGCCCCAGACCATTAGGTTTCTGACCTTTAATGGATTTCTTTGACACAGTATGTTTAGGAAGACCTAGCTTTCTTTTAGTGGCAAGACAGAGGGTTTTGAAATAAACAGAACCACAGATAAAACTATTTGCTGCTCCAACAAATATCATCATCATCATCATCATCATGGCTAGGCTTCGCCAACGAAGATTTGGGAAGGCTCTATCCACATTTGTTACAGGCACGCTGGTGGCTTATGAGGCCAATACGTGACACATATCCGATTGCAAAAGGCACAGCAGAAAGATTCCTCAGATGGTGTATTCTGCAATACACGGTTCTTTCTGCGCTGCCTTTTTTCCTCGAGAGTGATCCTGCGTGTGTTCTCGAAGGAGACAGCTGCGTTATAGATGGTGTGTCTCCAGGCCTCCCGATTTGAGGCCAGAGTAGACCAGTTATGGTGACTCCACTCCAACAAATATCAATAATCAACATATAAACGATAATTTTGGATAATTTTTGAGTTTCCAACTTGAGTAAAGAAAACTGCAGTACAACGTCAGAGGAGCCAAATGGATTTGGACAAAAAAGTCAAACCACCAGTTAATCAAAAGGAAAACACCAATGCAATAGCTAAATACAGAAGTCATTGGGAAGAGCATGGCTTTTTACCTGTGTGCATAAAATGTACCTACTGTTCTCATTTGTACCAAATGGACCACAAAAAAATTTGCCAGTCCTACTTAAAACAAATCTATGTCCACTTATGACTTCAAAGTTGTCTCAGTTTAACGACACGAAAGTGCTTGCTAAGGAGGGGGGGATAGGCGAAGGGAGGGCCAGGGGAGCGGGGCCGACCTCCAGACGAACCCCGCGTGGCAAATGGCGGATCTCAGCGGCGGCAGCTGCTCCGAGACTCCAAAACGAGCCCCCCCACCCGCCCTCCACGGACTATCTTGCTGTATCCCAGAGGGGGGGTGGTCGGAAGCTCCTCCGCGGATGGTGCCGGCTACAGGCAAGCCGTCTCCGAAAAAAATGCTCGCTCCAGGCACTCCACGCCGGGCCCGGGCCCCGGCCCCCACCCCTCAGCCATGGACGCGGCGGCTGGCGAGGGACGGAGCTGCTGGTCCGTCCAACGAAGAGCAGGGAGACCCTAAAAAAAAAACCGCACAAGGGAGTGGCAGCCCCTGTGACAACAGAGTGGTGTGCGATCCCCTCTACAGCAAGCACCGCAAGGGCTCTCTCACCGGGGGACGAACAGGAGCTCCTCTGGGCCTCGGCAGCTCCCAAGGGCGCCCAGGCAGTGCTGGCAGTCCGCAGAGGAAAAAAAAACAAACAAAAACTCCGGTCTCCCTCTCCCCCTCCCCCAGTCTAAAACGCTCACTGCCTAATGTTCCCCTCCGCCCCCACCCCCCAACTGTGACTGCAGAGGGGATGGAGTTTCCCTTATGCAATTTATGTGGTGTGCCGAGGTTATTTAGCATTAAGGCCCCAGCTAGACAAACAATGAAGTCTAAGCCTACTAGCAAGAGACTGTTGGTATGGGAAATTTCACTAGGAAAAATAAAAAAGTATAAAACTATAACAAAAGCTGATCCACAATTGCTCCTGAGGGAAGTTCAAAGTTTCCAGAAGCTTGATTTAGAGAGGTCCAAGTGGGACAAACATATCTCCAGACAACAATCAACTGATAATCAAGGACCAAAGATGCAGAACACCAACACAAAATATGACCTGGTCCAGCTACTTTTTCAACTATCAGTTAGTTATTTTTTGTTTATGCAAGTTTTTAAAACTTCCACCGTAGAAGTTCAAAACAATTAACACACAAACATGCAAGAAGGAAGTCTTGGTCAGGACTGGAATCCTTTCTACCCTTAACCCCTCATTACACAGCCACTACCAAACCTCAGAGATCCTCACTGGCTGTAAAGCTACACGATGATCTGTCTGACCCAGTGCAGCAGGCACAGCACAGAACTGTTGAATTTCCTACAGCACTAACTAAAGAGGACAAAAACGCAAGGAATCAGCTATCCTGCCTGGTACTTGACCCCAGCTGTTAATCACACTCCCACTGTGAAATATCTTCCATGCTAAAAGGCATATGTGAAAATTGGAAATCAACTCAAATCATTTGTTCTTTCCCTGCAAAGTCAAAATGCCTGCTGCAACCTGAGATTTTCTCCCTGTGAAAATCAAGTTGCTCCTTAATTCCTTTCTCTAGTAAGGAGGTTAAGTTTCAAGTCTCCCACTGCAATATTTATTCCATCTCTCCTATGCCACATCTTCCCCTCTCAACACCATGTGTAAAATAACTAGAGGGCAGTGCAAGTATAGGTCTCCGTGATGGGGGAGTTGAGTTTGTAATACCCCTTATTACTTAAAGTATACTGGAATGAGTTTATTTCTATTAATTGTGTGCCCTGCTTTCCTTTCAGAACCATTCTGTAAGTATAGCCTGTATGCAGTGGTTCAAGATGCACCTTGTGTTGGACCTTATTAATAGAAAATAATTCATGATTATCTACCATCCTGCTGGACTTTGTAATACCCGAAAATTTCATCTAAAAATAAATACTGCCATTAAAAAATTTACCACTTAACCAGCTACTAGTAATGACCAGTTAGTCAGACATGCTTGAATTATATGCAACTGCATTGATAACCAGAATGTAAAGTGTGACCAAGATGACTAAAAAATATGCACATAGATTATATTGATCGAGCTGCAAAACTTAATCCATTAACTAAGGTGGCAGGGGGAATTTAAAAAAAAAATAATTCTGATAAACTACTACTCCCCACAAAACTCACACCCACCAGCATTATGTGATGAATAACAAGCCTGTCTTGTGGTTTGTTTGTTGTTCCTCCCCCACAAAGGAATTCCTAAATTTACTGAGCATAAAGCTACATCTGCCTTGCTTAATTGTGCCTCCTGCCACACTTCCAACCCTCTGCTGTATCAGTTACATTATTTGGATTTCTTTAAAATACAAGATGACAACCTGAGTTCTCTTCAGTATTTCATTTAGGTCTCACTCAAGTGCAAATTATCCAAATCTACTAACTTCTGAACACTTACTCAAAATAAACAGTACATAACACAACTTCTGTTCAAAAAATATGGCATGAAGCACTTACGTTTATAATACTGCCCTAAGTTATGAATAGATTGTAAAAGTATACCATGACTTTCTCACGTTGCAGTTTCAAACTTCCTTTTCTTTATAATAGACTCATAACATCCTGACAGCAGATCTGACTGCCCTGATCATTCCTACCTATCTTAGCTCTCCAATGTTTCTGAGGTTGTCTCTGTTTCAAAGGCACAAAAAAGGATTTTGTTCTTTTCTCTGCCAGTCACAAGTATCTCTTAATATATTTGTCTATTTACTTTCTAAAGCTTTAATTTACAAAACATCTGGTCTCTACTCTTGTAGATTTTCTGATTTCTAGTTCCTGCTTTCAATCCTCCTCAGACAGAACATCCTTTTTGGTTTGTTTTTTTTTTTTTCCAGTCATATATTTGAAAAGTCACTGTGGCATTTGAATACCTCATCTTCTCCCCACCTCCACTTTTTTTAAGAAATGTATTTTTGTGTATTAGATTATTTTGTCAATCCTTTTCTTCACAGGTCACTTTGAATAATTTTTCTCTGCTTTCAGATACAGTCTTCTGAGTTCCTTTATATATACATCAAATATTAGCAATCTCCCCTTGCTTACAGTTAATTAAATCAACGTTAATCCAAAAGTGTCCTCCAGCTCTCTCTTGTAGAATTCCTCCTATGTTATGGTTGAAAACAGTGCCCTCTCATTTTGGGTTGAATACACTGTATATCAAATAAATAAGTAATAATAAGAAAAAATCATACACCTCTATCTTTAAGAAGAGCCAATGATGGTCAAGTGTTACTGCCAGCCTGCCTCACCTAGACTGGAGTCCATTCCCCATTGAGATCTCCGACGTAAAAGTTACAGGCGTTCATTAACATCTCTTATTTGTAAATATTCAAGGTGTCCCTCCTAATACAACCCCATGTAATCTCCTCCCCTCCTTCCTCCTCATCTTAGGATTTCAGAGAACTTCATGTCTGATCATATCACCTCCATATTTCACAACAGTCTCAACCCAGCTGCTAATAGCCAGAACAAGACATATTCCAAGAACAAGAAATATCATCACATACACAACACAGACACAGACTGTTCCTTTACTAGATTAAACTCTGCCCTCAGAGGAATGCATGCAGTAACACTGAAGGTAACAGAGCCAACTCCATTCTATCAGTTAAAACAAACACACAAACAAAAATAAAAAACAGAAACAAAAGAAAACCACCAAAAAAACAACCAGAAGGGATTTCCTAGGTCACTGATTCAGCACTACTAACGACATCTTTCATCAAGCTCCACCTGAAAAGCAGTTGTTACTTCTGTCCTGTTCTCTAGTAAGAGCTGTCCAGAATGTTCCTGCTCTGTGAACGACACAGCCGGACAGGGAAGCTCAGCTGCCACACTTAGCATGGCAATCACTTCAATGGCAATCCAAGATCTGATTTGCAGCTATGCCTTCCACAATCCAGAGACAACTATCATTTATATTTTTTCTCCCATCATGCTGGTTGACACACCAAGCTAAAAAGAAGGTATGTACATAACACTGCAGCTAATATTTGCAATTGGTAATATTTGCAATCAGGTTTGGCCTCTGATTAAGTGGAAGTATGGAAGATAATTTAGAAACATGACAAAAGCTAACCTAAGTTTTTCAGGTACTGCTCATTTGTAAAAATACAGACACTAAACCAGCAGACTTTTTTTCAGAAAGAAAAAAAAAGGTTAAGTACAATTCAGACTAAAAACCAAATTCTACTTTTTTTCTTTTTTTTTTCTTTTTTTTTTTAGCATTAATAACTTTAACAAGTATGTATCCCACCCTGGACCAGTGCTCCAGCGCTGAAGAGACCCTTTCCCAGTACTTTGACGACTGATGCTCAAACCCTCTCACAGTGTATCCAGATCAGAAATAAAGAAACAAGATTGTTTGTTTCTCTTTGACAAAGTGCTTGCAAACCATCAGGTAATTCTGAGTTGGTCTCTGTTACTTTTTCCCCCCTCTTTATTTGTTTTTCCCCCCCACAACCATCTCCTCTAAAAAAATAAATCATAAAATCCAAAGCCATTGTCTAGATTTTAGATAAATGTTGGTCTAGCTCTACTAGCTTGTCCTAGTTAAATTTTCTCCCAGTTCCAACCCATATTTTTCATCTCTCTGGTCCCCATTGTCCACTTATTTCTTCTACTGTAAAACAGTATTATTAGAACACTGAATTTAGCACACTCCTCCCATGAGGAAAGTCCCAATGATAAAAGTTTGCTCAGAAGGAGAAAATTCTTCTTTTATTTTAGATCTTATAAAAGCCTTACATTTATTTTCTATGAAGAAAAACAAAAGCAGTAAGGCTGTCCACCACTGCCTTTTTACCATTAAAAGGAGCAAGAGCAAAGCAACACAGATCATACCAAGTAGTCACCAGAAGCAGCAGTGGCTGTGTCTGCTGTTGTAAACTTTTCTGACTGTACTAGTATTGACAAATTTCTACCACAGCCTTGGTTCTTTCATGCACAAGAAAAACAGTCAACAAAAGGACACAGAATAATAAACAATTACAATAATCTAATAAATAGAGTAATACCTCTAATTGCAGAAAATCTTAAGAATTAGGAGAGAGATATTTTTGTGCAATAATCAGTCACAAATGAAGAGTAGGAACATTAAGACAGGAAGCTCAGCTGCAATAAAATATGTCTCTACTGAACTTACATTTATGAGCCTTCAGGCCTTCAAATGACACTGGTCCATACTCATAGTACTCGTAGTCCCAGGTGTAATCAGAGTTAGACGAGGCCTGCTGGGAAGTTCTATTAGAAGTCAGCCTCAGGGCAGACATCTTGCATCTCAATAAATATGTATCTGTGGATATGAACTGTGTTAATAGAGACTACATACTTCTAGCACATCTTTTGGTTTTATAAAGAATGTTTTCTTATCTATTGGAGCAGCCACTGCCTCATCCAGACAAGGCTATCACATCCCCTCCCATTCCTTCACCCATCTTGGCTGGCTAACCAACAGTTAACACAGATCTTCTCTTCAGTGGAAAGAAGAAAACTTATTTTCACCTCCACAGAGATGTGTGTAAGTGTACAGAGTATCAAAACCAGGTTCCTCTGATTGAATATAGATTTCATAGCTTGAAAATAATACATAATGAACACCACCAACCTCTGCATCTTAGGATGAATGCTGCCAGAGAAATCTGAGTGGAGAATTAGCCAGACTACTACTGTGTTATCCATACAAAGCCCAGCTGGCCATTAGTTGTCAGTGGTACCCCTCAGGGACTGATACTGTGCTGAAATGGAGCAGACATGTACCAAGTTCACAAATTATGTGGGGGACAGTCAAGAGGCTGGAGGGCAGACTGCTGCTTAGACAGACCAGGACAAGCTGGAGAAAGGGAGCAACAGGAACCTCATGAGGATCATCACTGCAAATGCAAAGTCCTGCATCCAGGAGGGAATAACCCCACACAGCAGTGCAGGCTGGAGGTTGACTGATGGGGAGTAGCTCTGCAGAGAAGGACCTGCAATGAACAACTAACTGAACACGAGTCAGCTGTGTGCCTTGAGCCGTGTGCCTTGCGGCAAAGACCACCAAGTGTGTACTGGGCTGAATTAACAGGAGTGTACCAGCAGGTCAGGAGAAGTGTTTACTCTGCTCACCACTGGGAAGACCATATACCAGTTGGTATCCTAATTATAGAAAGACATAGGTACACTGGGGCAAGTCCAGTGAAAGGCCACGAGGATGGTTAGGGAGCTGAAGCACAGGATGCATGAAAGCTTAAGGATTTGTTCAACCTGGAGACGCGATGGCTCCAGGGAGACTTTAGTGCTGTCTACAGTTAGAGTTGGAGGGTGCAGAGATGATGGTGCCAGGCTCTTCTCAGAAGTGCAGAGTAAGAGGACAAGAGGCAATGGACAAAAAATTGGGAAACAGGAAATTCAAATTAGATACAAATTAAAATTTACCTATCTAGTCAAACATGCTTTGTGTAGGAGGTTGGACCAAATGACACCAAAGGTCCCTTCCAACCTAAATTTCTCTACGTTGATAAATGGGCTCAATATGTCACTAAAGAAGGAAAATAAAATGAGTGATTTCCCCCATGGATTAACAAAAACTGCAATACAACCCTAAGCATCGTTAAATTATCTGGATAGATATTTCTGTCATTACCACCACTCTCTATGAGGGACTTGCATTTTGCAGAGTAATTTTTTCAGAATATGAGACTGTTTTATGCACAGCAAAAAAGAGCACATCTCTGCACAAAACATCTGCTGCTGCAGCAGCTGGAGTCAGGACATCCAACTTAAAACATATTACAAAATACTATTTGTAAAAGCGAGTTGAGCTTTGGGTAATTTTCCATTCAGTTAAAACCCAGCAGGATTGACCAAGGCTTCAAGTGCTAGGAGAACCATACATAAAGAACAAAAATGAGGCACAAAATGAGAAACGCATTCACCCAGGGAATATGAACAGCATTTCAAATTTAAAAAAATTGTTCTTTCTGCAACTATTTTACCATGAGCAAATGCTGGCAGCAATGCCTCAAAACAATTTTAAATAAATATTATGCCTGAAAAAGTAAAACTTCATACCTAGTTACAATGTTCATAACCTTAAACACATACCAAAACTTGACTTACAAGCGATAAATCCTTTAAAACAATAAATGGACCTATTTTTCAACCCAAACCAGCTTAGTTTTCACAATAAGCAACCTGACAGCAGGAAAGGTCAGGGGGACAGGGAGAGAAGTGACCAACCGTATTCTTGGGTCAGGACAAGAAGATTCTCCACTTTATGCTCACCCCCCTCCTAGCCACCCAGAAAGCCTCCAGCAAGAATAAGTAGCCCAAAGCACAGAGGAGAAAGAAAGATGGCAATAATGGACAACCCAGTTCATGGGATTCCTGTCCTAGTTTGTTCCCATCTCAGCTCTGTCAGTCGTTTCTTACAAGAGTTTGTATTTCATTTTGTGACTGCACTCCAAGAGACTACATTGTGCTACACAAGGTTCCCGTCATTTTTCTTCCCCTTCTCCTTGCTGTTTTGTTGATGACGTGTTGACAAATTTTATTAGCCCAGTCCTGTTTAAGGGTTGCTTTTCTCTTTTAGAGCCTTCCAGACAAGTCTATCATTCATATATTCCTCATAGGGCATCACTAATATTCAGTCACCTCCCTCCTTTTAGTATCATAAAAAGAGCTGAAATCTACAGGCAGTAAATTTCAGAGTAGGATACATGAACAGTCTGAAAAATTTTGTTTCTTCCATCTCAGGTGCAGGCAGATGGGATTAATTGGGCTACATGCAAATCTCTCTCCCAGTCTAGTCTCTAGTGCCCAATTATGGTTTATGGTGAGTATAGCCACCTCCAGAACACAAAGAATCTGTCCCACTTCAGTATGCAGTTTGGACTGGGTGCTCCAGAGTTTCACCACTGACTGCCAACGTTTCAAGATTTACTTTCACTGTAGACAAGACACTATCAGAGGGAGAGCTGCTAACTGAAACCTGGGTCACCAGCTCCCAGGCTAATCTGTGCTTTGAGGGACATACGAAATATCCCTCTAAATCATCCAGTACAGCTAAGCATTGGCATTGTCCCAAACCAGTTTACAGCTCACTTGTAAGCTCTGTCTGTCCAAATACCTCCAAAACCTCAGCCTGAAGCATGTGAATACCAACCTTTCATTCTACTTAAAAAGCCAGTCTAGCATGGTGGTACAAGGAGCACCGCAGTGAAAGTAGTGAACACTTAGACCTTGCATCTCCTGGGGAGGAGCAAAGCAGGGTGAGTTGGCATGCTAACCACTTGTCAGGTGCATTTGCCAGGCTGCAGAAGGTCACAGAGGGACTTCAGGTAAGGGTTTCAAGGAATTAATTCCTCCAGGAGATGCACTAAAACACACTTTCTGCCAGGCGTGGAAAGCAGTGATTCATCCCACAGTCTGAAGCATGACAGAGGGCTTCTCCAAATGACTTTGCTGAGGGTTTTTCAGGGGGGCACAGGAATTGTTTAAGGTAAACATGAAAGCCCCTCTGTTGACTTTGATGTGTATGGATGCAGGCAGTCTTTCCTCACTCCAGCTCACTTCTTTCAGGAGCAAGTAAGTAAGCAACACAAAGCTTCACTTTGACTACTCAAGAAACCCCAAAGCAGGGCTGTGTTCAGTGCTGCAAACCAGGAGACTCAGGCAGATCAGTTTCCTGGAAACTAAAAAAGGCAAGTGCTCATGGCCTTTTCCTGAAGCATTGGATTGCTCTCTGCAGATGTCAACAGATACCCAGACACTCCCCATGGAGACCCAACTGCAACTCCTGGAGTTAAATTATACCTTCATGAAAACGTGTTTGTAACCTGTGGGAAAGTTTGTAGCTACAAGCTTGCCTGAGAGCTGCCAGTGGTCCTGAGCTAGTTTGACTGTTGGGCTATATTTGCACCACATCCACAACTTTGAACTGCAGCAGCAGGGCATCAAACGCTGTGCAGTTTGACTATTTGCTTCAATCTGGACATCATCCATGCAACTGCATGAGGGTCTCAGCCACTTACCTTTCAAAATGAGTCACTGTAAAAGCAAAACTGAACACACATCACATCTGCAACACAACTTCATGGCTTGCACCATCACTGGGGCCACAAAGGCATATCTGTTTTTGCGTATATCTGAAATTGGCCTTGTATGTAACCAGCAACAACTACCTCCGAAGCTGACCTGCATGCACAAAATAAAACCATGTGGACTGGTCATGTGCTGTTCATTTTTGGAGCAAGAGAAATTACCAGTATGGTAGACACGAACAACTTTTCAATCAAAAATTTTCAATGAAAAACTACATTTATTTTCTACATACTTCTATTCTGCTTACTGCCATGGAATCTAAGCACTTCATAGTCTTCATAGAAGTTGCCCCCTTGCAAATTCTGAAGATCCCAAGAGCTAGACATGGGAAAAAAAGTAGCTACATTTCAAACTGTGAGAAGCCCCAGCCTGAGAAAGCTTAGCACTACACCCTGATGCATCAGCTCCATCATCTGGGCAGTACAATTAAACCAGAAGTTATTGGCTATGAGAAGTTAACAACACAGGTTGTTCCCATATCCCCTAAGTCCCCAGACCAACAACAATATTCTGCAGGGAGGAATATTGCAGCCACCCCCACATTCCTTTTTACTCCATCCCAAAGACTAAGAGGTGAAGTCAGAGAAAAAGCAAATAAAAAAACAAACACAAACTTATTTACTCTGCTGCATTGCATCAGCTGAAAAGTAATATAGACCCCATCTTTCTACAACTCTACCACACGGCTGTCGCTTTGAACAAGCTGTGCCACTCCCAACCACAGACAAGGAGGTAGTCTGTAGCAAATTCTTACCCTAATGGTCCTTGCTTCTTTCTAATTCTCAAGATCCTAGATGGGCATGATTTGAGATCAAACTTGTGGTCTTTTCAGGGGAATACCCAATCCTACCTGCAATAAAAGAGAGAAAAGCAAGCTATAAAAAAGAAGTGAAATTTAGCAAAAAAAAAGAAAAAAGATATCTGGAAACTGACAATACAATTTAAAATCAATCATACATGCCAACTCAGTGCATGACACCTAGGTCTTTTCTTGGAGAGAAAAGGAAGTACAATGGTGACAGTGGTTATGTTTATGACCAATGTTCACAAACAGCATTATCTGCATGGGCTACTGCACTAAAATAACAAGAATAATGTTGGATTCATCACAAAAGGACTTTATAACAACGGAAAGGAAAAAAGTTGGTTTAGTCACTGTTTAACCTGGGAACTAAGGATGAGAAAGGTAACAGAGTTACAGACATCTGCGCTTCATATTACACATCATATAACATACATTTTATTATCCTTATAACTATGCAATGTAAACTAGACTCCAACAGTTAACTATTTATGCATCACACACAAATTCTTATTAAAATATCTTACTTTCCATGTACTAATGCTTAATATCTTGGTTCTAACACTTAATATCCTGCATTATGTGCGCTGTAAAAAGTTTCCACACCATTATACACAATTTGCATGCTAATTGTATAGATACTGTTTGTACCTAGTTTAAAAGTGATAACATTATGACTTTAAAGTAAAATTTAACAAAGACCAAAACAGTTTGCCAACTATTTTCCTGAAGTCAATAACAATATATGCAAACACTAATGCCCACTTAGCAGCTCAATTCAGAAGAAGCCACATGGAAGTTAAGGCAGAAACTAATATGAGATAATATCATAGCATGAGTTCACAGGCAACTGTATGGATCTAAAAAACAAATAAAGGAAATACTATGTAAGCTCACTCATAAGCCTTTCTGAGAAGACAAGGAATTATATACCTAACATAGCATCACAGAAGCTCTGTATTCCTTTTGCTCTTAAAAAGTTTCAGTCCTGCACTAACAGTAAAGGGACATGGAACAGTTAGTATAGAGCTAGTGGGACTTGCTCCCAAAACACACTGAAGCTTAGCTTAACTCCAGCACCAAAAGCTTTAAAAATTACAGCTGGCATGCACAGTCTTAAGAGACAGTATTATCTAAAAGTAAAAAGGATTAGCCATAATTCCATTTATTTCCTGCATCTAGGGCAGGATTACACAATCAGTACTGAGCCCATTTTCCTTTCCTCACTAAAAGTCAACCTTCTCATAGATGTGCAGGTATGGCAGCTGCAAACCCAAGTTCCCTCAAGATCAACCAGACTGGAAGAAGCCCTGTTAGTGAGCACTAAAATACTGAGGCTTTTTTAGTCCTATATTGTTACAAATGCTGACATCAATGTTATATATAAGTATATTGAACACTTTCCAAGAGAAAGGCTGCCTTTCCCTCAGCTGGTTATAATATTGCCCATTTTAACCTTTCTCACTACAAATTTTTCACCTTTCAGTAATATCACAGAGATCCCAGGCTGATTTGTTATAGAAAACCCTGAAGTGAAAGAGCCCTAGCATATCCACTGATGAGGTAAGAGTGAACTGTAATGCAAGTTTGCAACTGGCCTGCCCCAAAAGTTTCTGCTTTGGGGCTGTATTATTTTCTTTCATTTTCCTGGCTTAGCAAAGTAGTCCTTTTTTTTTTTTTTTAAATTTTTTTTAAATGTCTCTTTCTGTTGGCTTTATTCTCACAGAAAGCTCAGTGCTTAGATGGTGATCTTCTGATTTCCTTGCTAACCCTGAAGTCTGTCAATATGAAGCCTTATTCTGAGCAGAGAGAAAGGAAAGCATCTCCCCACCACACTCTTACTGAACAGCACACTGCAGGTCAACTGGAATGGCTCCATCAGAATACAAGTACCTATAAATTGCTTTTAAAATAACTTCTACTTGTTTTATCATGTAAGAACCTATAAAAAATAGCAGCCTCCACAGTAGAGACAGAACAAGTACTATCATACTTTTAATAACTAAAAGATGAAATTAACTTTTAAAGTAAAAAAATCTCAGTGAGAATTTCTCTCAATGCATAAGGTTACTAGACTAGAGTTACCCAAACTGGCTAGACTACAAGTTATGAAGAAACACTGGAAGCATAGTCTTGCATGTAGCCAGAAAAACGACTGAATCCAAGAACAGGAGACACTCAGGAATATTTCAAATAGCCACAACTAAACTGACCATTTTTAATAGGGGCAACGCTGAAAGAAGGAACTACTCTTGTGTGATTGTTCCTGGGAAACTCAGCACTGATAAACAGCTAGAATTCCCTGGGCTCCCTTCCTGCCAATGACCTGGGCCTGCAGATGTCCCGTGCCCTGCAGCAGCTACTGCTGCACAGCCCTCCCTTACCAACCCCACAGGGAGC